AGTGTGTTCCTTTGGAAAAAAAGAGGCATCAAAATTCATAAGCCTATTCAATAATGCATAGATTTTTGAAAGTGGGTTGGGTTCAAGTCCGTTCAGTAAAAACACATAACTGACATGCTTATAACAAAATGAAACAAAATCCCCCTACTTGCCATAACCGAACATGAAGAAGATAGGATAAGAAGTAATCTTTATCCATCTTACGAACACCTCGTTTATCTAAAAAGATCGATAAGTTAAATCATGTGAATTCAAGAGAGACAAAGACCAAGTGCAAATATTGAAAACACCACATACCTAAAAATCATAAAATGCCAATAAACCAAATAACAGAATAGATAGTGGCTAGCAGTGAAATTCAGGAAGCGCTTTTCGTCCTATCTAAGACTCGTCAGCTGGATGTACCTGCCTCCCAGCGAGTGTTGTTCCCACCAGGTCTCGAACTCGAGACCGATCACTTCAAACGTCAGAGCATCCGTACAGGAGCCCATAGGCCAATAGAGACTCATCAGTTCGGTCCAATCAACGACGGTATAGTACAAAGAATAACACTAAAGCAACACTCGTCGCACAAGAAGTGGCTATCGTGGCTCAGTGGTCCAGTGGATAACACTGGAGTTTGAAGTGATCATTCCCAAGTTCGAAACCCGGTGGGAACAACATCGTTCACTGTGACGGCGTTGTGTTCGATGAACTGAATGGATTATTCATGGAGCTTTCTCTGTCATCCTAGACGTCATCATCAGCACAAACTAAACAAAGAAGGGAGCTATAAACTTTCCTCTACAAGTGGATTAGTAGCTCGTCCTGATGGCCTTACGCGTGATTGGTTGTGTCTGTCAAGATCTTGTCATTGCCTGCATATTTATTTCGATTGGTTGTCCTACCAAAGCGAACTCTGACCTTCTTGTTGTTTTTTATTGAATGACTGACCAATGATGGGTCAATGTTAATATGTCTGTTGATCACTGACTAGCTTGACTTCCAAGCTTCTAAAAATTCTCTGGCATTCTTTGTATTTCCTCTATCCAAAATTTCTACACCTCAATCAAATTCATGTTCACAGATGTTCGTATGCATTGATATGAAGGGAGATATGTCATAACTCTTCACCGTTAGTTGATGTTCATGTAGACAGATGCGAAGAAGGCGACCACTCTGTCCGATGTAGTGTTTTTTGTAGTTTCTACAGTTCGTTTTGTAGATAGTATGTCTTCATCCGCTGTTACATCTTTTGCAGAGTGAAGAGATTGGGTGGTCTTGTGAGATATAGCGATTCCAAGATGCTTCAGCAATCTAGTCAAAATCTTGGAGATGTTCTTCATGTAACGTAAAACAATCCGTTTGTTGGTTTTTGAAGTTGACTTCTTGGTTAACAACGAACTATACTAACATATTTTGACGAAGTTTCCTGGATAGGTGTTCTTCTGAAAAACAGTCGTTAAACGGTTTACTTGTTTTCTCCGCAAGGTTGATGTACTACACTGTGGCTTTGATCTTCTGAACAAAGTTGTTATACAAGTGATCTACTGTACTGTTAGGTTATTGCTACCGTAATTGAGAATCTCATCTCTATGCGTTGGTTTTCTGCATACTTCAGTTTCCAGTTTCCCCGAATCTGTTCTGGTGATCAGAACATCTAAAAATGCAAGTCTGTTATTTAATTTCTCTTCAGTTGTGAATTTATGTCATCGACAGTGTTGTTGATTAATTTGTAAGCGTTTTCCAATTCGTTTCTTCTAATGATGGCAAGCGTATCATCAACATTTCACATCTAAAGTTTTGATTTCATTAACAGTAATACCACAGTTTCTAATCTTTTCATAACTGCTCCTTCAATTAGTCGTGAAATAGGCAGTCACATTGGTGTTCTCTTTGTCTGTGTGTACAGTTTACCGTTGAACTGAAAACGTATTGTAAGGCACAAATCAATTAATTCTGTCAAACTGGAACACTGCAGCTGTATATGTTCTGAGAAATATGTCTCATTGTTGAGGATGAAGAGTCATTGTATCCTAAGCCGGTCTCGGTTTACTTGAGGTGTATAGAGCTGTAACGTCGGAAGACACCAACAATTCGTCATTATTATGACATATCCTTGCCTATATTAATGTGAACATGAATTTGATTGAGGTGTAGAAATTTTGGATAGAGGAAATACAAAGAATGCCAGAGAATTTTAGAAGCTTGGAAGTCAAGCTAGTCAGTGATCAACAGACATATTAACATTGACCCATCATTGGTCAGTCATTCAATAAAAAACAACAAGAAGGTCAGAGTTCGCTTTGGTAGGACAACCAATCGAAATAAATATGCAGGCAATGACAAGATCTTGACAGACACAACCAATCACGCGTAAGGCCATCAGGACGAGCTACTAATCCACTTGTAGAGGAAAGTTTATAGCTCCCTTCTTTGTTTAGTTTGTGCTGATGATGACGTCTAGGATGACAACGAAAGCTTCACGACTAAACCAACTAGCTCAGACAGCATAACACCATTAAAGTCATTCACATGCTTAACAAACATATTTCATCATCACAGCTGCACTTAGTGTACATAAGCATTCTACTAACGTGCATGTGTGTTCAGCAGATGTCAATATGGCTTGAGAGGAATTGGTCGATTTCAGAGGGCTTTCATCGCAAATCCACACGGATCAAAGAGAAGTCAGCTAGCTGTGAGCACAGGTCAAGTGTTTTGTCATCTTTCAAGACTCCTCAGAAGCGTACACTGATGACCACATGTAAGATCTAACCCTAGACCATCAGGTCTCACGAAGATGATTTTACTACTAAACCAGTTTGTAAAAATGCAACACCCAGTGTTTTCTAACAACTTTCAATCCATGATACGCCATGATCATCATCTAATGTAATCAGTGAGTATATGTTTTTCACACAGAGCATGGTTGAACTCTCAGGTTATGGCTTCTCACTATATCTTTAAATGGTCTACTTCAAAGCAGGTCACTAACAAACAGCTAATGGTTGCTCAGTTTGATGGCTTGTTGAGAGTTCATCAACTTCAAAGGATTTTCATCATGGTATTATATATTACAAAAGTTTCTGAATGAATCTTCTGGATATTTTTAAAAGGCAGTCAACTAAATTTATCAATTTATGTCTCACCAAAAGAAGATGGTGGTTCAATCATAAAAATTCATACATAACAAAGTGAATTTGTATTAAATTACGGACAATATATGAAAATATGTATCTAATTCAAAAACACTTATTATTAAGGCATTCCGGAAGTGAGTTTTTTTCTAAAAGAAACATTGATGATGAATTAGTGAGCTAACCTTACATGATTAACAAGTTCACTAACAAATTGTTGAGAAATGCATTTTATGACTGAATGAATCACTACAAATTTATTATACTTAAATTTCTACCATTGGTTGTGTACGCCAATGGATACATACTGAAATGATGAGAGCAAGTTGTAGTTTTTCTTACCTACTCAGTTATTTGGGTAGGAAATACCTTTTTAGCCAATAATACGAAAACATATTTCTTGTTTTTTTCCTGCGTGAGCCTAAGTATTTGAGTTTTCCTAAAGAGTAGGTGAAAATACCAGCTCTTACAATCCTGGAATTTGATCAGCACTCAAGACTAAAAAATGTGAGTTCCGTTGGTATCCAGTGACCAATCAATGTATTGAATCCAATCGTATAGGAGATTGACTGATTGTGGCTCGATTATCTCAGTAGTGACGTTCCTGACTGACTGTTACATTGAATGAAGCAGGCTCGAATCTCAGAGTGGGCATTAGTTCTCTTGAGGTTGCAGATACATCTTGCTAACCGTCAAATATATTCAGTAATACAAAAGCGAAGGCAATGGAAATGACGCATAAAAAAGATTCTCCAAGTAAACATGTTCATTCAACATTATAGTGAGAATTTTGGCATAAAACGGCGCATCTCAAAGGACATAACTGTTGAATTCATTTTTCTAAATTAAGAAGCACCCAAAACGTTTTAATGTTGATTCTTTCAACATTTTACTCTACAAAAGAATAGATCTAATGAAGAGACAGTAAGTTTCACTGTTAGACGTTAGAAGTCACCCAGCAGTGAACTGTCCTAATATCTAGCACCAAAATATAGAGCGAAAAGGTCAGCAACAGTTAGTGAGGCTATAGCGGGGAAGGACGGATCTGCAATTCACTCGTAGTGCTGCGTACTAAGAAAATGACAAGTGAAGGCATCACCATATAAAAAACCAATTTGTATAAATTCTACTTTCTCTTGAAAACGTCACAACATATGAATATACATATGGCACAGTTGACGGAGCTTCGCCCTCAGCAACCCTACTAAGTATTGAAGTGAGGTGATATTACATATTTCCATTATGTAATACTTTATTGCTTAGTCTCAACAGTGCCAAAACTTCAGACATCAGAGATTTCGTAGCTAAGAACAAAGACGATAAATCCAAGTTGGTTTGAGGCAAGTGGTAAGAAGCTGTGCTTGGTCTAGGTTATATGGTTTTCGGCACTGAACAGCAAAGCGCGTCTGCAGCCCCAATGAAACTGATGCCCCACACACTGTCACCTATTGCTGAAGCCGGCGACATCACCAGTAAGCTATGTGAGCCATTAAAAGAGCATCGCAATAGTAAACCTCTTAGAATTCAGTCATCACTCAGGACTACACAGCATGAAATTGGTTGGCCTCCGATGATCAATCAGTGAAGAAATGATGACTGCTCAGTATTGTTTAGTCCTTATAGTATGTTCCTGGATGTTTCGTCACTAAGATAGACAACTTCATCGCAATTAACTTGTTGAGCAAAATTGCTTTTATTCTAAGTATGAAAATAAACCGGTTGTAATTATTTTAATTTGATGACTTTAATACTGATCTAGTAAAACAAAGATATGTGAGTAAATCAAATTTCTCATCGATTTTTCTATGTACTAAAATTTCAGCAAACACTTGTATACTTTATAACTAAATATTGTCTCTCCTTGTTTTCTGTACATTGAAGGTGAAAGTATGGTTTCAGAATCGTAGAATGAAAACAAAAAAACTGAAAACTCGATCATATTCAAGCACTGATGCAATAAAACAATATAGTATAGATAAAAATATCATGGATAAAGAACAACCTTCAATAGTATTCGATAAACAAAAGTTTCTTCAATTGACTAATCAATGGAATGATAATATTCCTTCAAATTCAGTTATAACTTCCATTTGTAATTATGATTTGCATGACTGTACAAGAAAGTATATATAAAATTATATGCCTTCTGGTAATCATATATTATTCTCATTTATAAATAAAACAAAGTCATTCCTGTTCAAATTTCAACGGTACATAATTTTTAATGACTTTAATGAAACAAAGAAGCATTGATCAACTGGTTCAAAAATCGCCTACTAATTTGCTTTCTTTTCGAAAAATTCATTTAAATCAATGGAATAATTGAAAATTTGATTTATTTCACTCTTTGTTACAACGAGAATATAATAGAATTAGTTGAATCATTTCAGTGAACTGAAATAAAAACAATTTCATGAATTATAAAATTTTATTTCTGTCAAGATGGTTTCAGTCATTTTCACAAATATGCAGAAAGTGTTCATCTGATATCTGCATCACTTAAGAACATTTTATACTTCTCCAATCAGTCTAGTTATTTTCAATTTCATAGCTTGAGAATCTCTGTCGAAATGACCATCCACTATTGCGATACGGACTTCTGTATGGATGCCTAAGTATTACCGGTGCTCTCGGTTTCCATATCATTGATGGATAGTATCTAGCAGTGGAATTAAGGAGGTGCGATTCGTCCTATTCGGGACTGATCAGCCAGATATACCTTCCCCTCATCAAGTGATGTCGTTCCTAGTACTAAGACTTGAAGATCCAAGCGTTACCCACTAGACCACTGAATCACGATAACCATTGTTTGTGCGATAGGTATACCATAGTTGTGATGTTATAACTTGTAAATCTCCGCCGTTGATTGGACTGGATTATTGTTATTATTGGTGTATTTATTCCTTAGAGTAAGCTACTCACTTATGCAATATCAATATAGCTTGTTGATTCTTGCAAGTTTCTCCCAGTATGTGTTTTCTTGATCACTTATATGCAACAATGTTAAATTATTTCTTAAGAATATTAGTAGGTAAAATATTTGGTCAATATTAACTAAATTGATAAAGATTTCTCCCGTCTCACTAGTTTGATTTGTACATTGTTTAAAAACTAAAATACTCGAACTCAACACCCATCACATGAAAAAAATGATTACTGACACTCGATGCTTAAGTGATGGGTATCATGTCTGGATAGCTCAGTGAGAAATGCCCCAGGATTCGAAGTGACGAATGCTAGTATTGAGGCTTAATAGGGTGCAAGCAAATCTACCTGACAAGTCTCGAATGGGACAAAACGTGTATCCTAGATTCCACTGTTAGTCACCAAGTAAGCTGCAACATAATGTCAATGAAAAACTGCAAAATACTTTAGAAAAGTTTGATTGTTTGAACACTATACACCCATGTTATGACGTAATAACAATGAAAAAAAGGTGATGGAAGTATACAAATTCTTTTCTGCCTATTTGGGATTGATGTTTTTGAGGTAAAATGACCTCATAAAGCAAAAGTATTCGTAATGTGTGGGACTGGGGTTTAAGTTATTTATCACTTGAATACTCTTGGTTGTATTGTGTTCTCCGAGCTGGGTTGTTTAGTCGTGGAGCTTTCATCGTCTTTCTAGACGACATCCGTGAGTGATCTAGTAGCTTGCCCTGACTAACTGCTTTGTGTGAGATTGATTATTTCCTTTGATTGTTGTGTCATTGACTGACTGCAAAGAGTTTTCTGTTGGTTGTTCCTCTGCTTGAACTCTGACCTTCCTGTCGTTTGTCATTTTTCTTATTAGTTGATAGATTGGGTCTATGTCTATACGTCTGTTGATCGCTGACTGACCTGAGTGCCAAGCTTCTAGATCCAATCTTTCAACCAATGAGAAAGATGATAAATGACAGAAAGGTCAGAGGTCAGACGGAGAAACAGCCAACAGGAAAATCTATACAGTCACTGACGCAACAATAGAAGGAAACAACCAATCGCAAACCACTTCATCAAGGCAAGCTACTTAATCACTAACGGTGAGATATTGACAGCTCACTTCAGACTGAAGCTAATGCTGATGATGTCGTCTAGAAAGACAATGAAAGCTCCACGATTAAACAACCCAGCTCAAAGAACACAATACAACCAAGACTATCCACCTGAGCTACAAATATTCTCCACCATATCACTTGAATACCCACGTATATTTGAGTTCATTCTTCTGATTAGTTGTAAGTCTTTTCTACTGTACCAGATGCAATTTTGGATACAATATCTATGATTTCCATCTTCGATACACTGAAAAATCATTTGGTTTTTAGTTCACTGGCACACAGAATTTAGTATCTATGATGAGTTTAGGTCAAAATCAGCAGGTTAAATATACCTCGAAAACTGTTACTTTACGTTTGTGAGCAAAATAATGCTAACGATGCTGACATTTGTACGAATCCTCTATCGTAACTTCTTTTGTCCATACGTCATGCTGCAGGTAGATGTTTTGTAAGTTCTAAAGCTGGAGGTGTCCCGATTAACAATAGACTGCATGGTATGAAGTATAATTATATCATAGTAAGATATGGCGAACAGGACCAGACGGGATCCTGCCAGAAGCACTCAAAATAGACTCAGAGACAACAGCGGACATGCTCACACCACACCACTAGTGCAGAAGTTGTGGAAGGAAGAGAAGCTACCTGCCATTGGATTGGAAGAAGGGTTACCTCGTCAAATTCCCGAAGAAGGGAGACCTCAGTGTCTGCAAGAACTGGTGCGGAATCACTCTCCTGTCCACCCAAACAAAGCAAAATATTAAGCCGCATCATCCTGGAGAGGCCAAAAGATGAGCTGGATTCAAAACTACAACCGGAACAGGCTGGCTGGCTGGATTCAGGAGGTACAAATCATGTGCGAAACAAATCGCAACGCTTTACTACGCATCATCATAGAACAGAGTACAGAATGGCAGTCAACTCAATTCTCTACCTCAACTTTATCGACTTTGAAAAAGCCGGCCTTTGACAGCGTCGACCGACAGGTAATTTGGAAACTGCTTCAATACTACGGAATACCGCAAACCTTTACCAGCCTCATTCAACAACTATATGAAGACGCATGCCACATGCCAACCAAGTAATTCACAGTGGGTAGCTCAGTGATGCCTTTGGGGTGAAGTGAAGACAGGAGTGAAACAAGGCTGCTGCCTACTATCCCCCATGATAGTCCTGATTGTGGTCTAGTGGACTGGATGATGCAGCAAACAGTGGTGAGCGAGAAGAGGGGGATACACTGGCTGGACTGCGGAAAAGAACCTAGAAGATCTGGATTTCGCCAACGATCACTTGTGTCTGATGTCAGACAAACTTGAAGATGTACAGGCGAAAACTAACAAGTTGATAGAAGAGGCAGTGAAGGAAGCCGGGACTTCAAGTGAATATAGAGAAGACGGAGGTGATGAATATACCACACCAACAACAACAACAACAAACTCCAATCACCATCAACGTGAGAAACTTAAAGGAAGTAACCTCCTTCACCTATCTAGGAAGCACTGTTTCAACTACAGGTGGCAATGGTGGCACAGACGAGGATGTCAAAGCTAGTCAGGATCGGAGAAGCAAGACAGGCGTTGATTAGCCTGAAACCAGTGTGGAGATCTTCTGCAATCAGCCTAAAATGTGAACAAGATGCGGATTTTCAACACCACTTCAGCCAAGTCAGTGCTTGTGTATGGTTGAGAGACCTGCCGGCGCGTCACGAAAGGGATTTCCAATAAACTACAGACATTCATCAACAACTGCTTACGCTGGCTCATTTCTGAAGATCAGATGGATTGCCAGAATAGTTAGAATGAGCAACAAGGAACTCTGGTCTGGCAACGAACCAATCAAGAACCTATCACGCAACAAATATGCAGTGGAAGGAATTGGAGATGGATTGGGCTGGGGATACACTGAGAAGGCCGACTGGAGACATCACGCTTCAGGCCGGGCAGTTGAGTGGAACCCCGATGGGAAGCGACGAGTTGGGCGTCTGAGTCGAGGGTGACATGGAGGAGATCGTGTGAAGAGGAAATGAGAGCTTGTGGGCTGTCGTGGAGCCAGGTTGAAAAGATTTCCGAGAACAGAGTTGACTGGAGACGTGCTAGTGAAGCCCTATGTTTCATTAGGAACCCAAGGTACTAATAATAATAATAGTAAGATGGTCAGAATCCAACACCTCACGTTTTCCAACAACCATCAGTTCGTGCATACACCATGACCGTCACTTAATGTCATCGGTGAGTGTTCATCCTCACAGTGAAATTAGTTTTAATCCCGGGTCATGGCTTTGAACTACATCTTCAGAAGGTCTGTTTCAAAGCTTGTCACTACAGCGTATTGAACTGCAATTTAGCTTAAGTTTTTCTAGGGAATTGACTGATTTCCATTTAACAATAAATGTGTTGTTATAAGTAATGCACATTCATTAGCAAACTTCAGATAACCATCCCAAATAAAATTAGCTAGTTAAAGCAACGCATTCGTGGTTACAAATTGATCTCGACTATCAAGCAGCTTTCAAAATTCATAATTTATTATTATTATTATTATTATTATTATTATTATTAGTCAATGGCTATCCTAAGTGGATTGAGATAATCATGTTGCAGAAAATGACTTTGCCAGTGTTATACTGAAAACTATCCAGGTTACTGATAGGTTTTGAACGATCATGTAACGTAACCCTAAAGAGTTGTGTTTAATTTAATTCCTGTATTTTCAATCAGTTTTGTAAGAGAAACGGAATAAATTTGAAACATCCGCCACCAGAGTAGACTCAGTCAAAAGTCAAGGTTGAACTGAATAAGTATTAGTATAAAGACCAACAATAAAGTAAAATAAAGAGTGGAATATCTGTGGGACACCAGGCTGGTGAGTCATCGATATACACTACAAAGTCTAATGTCAAGTGTGCAGAAATTCTTTGATCAAATGCTCCAACCAAAATGATGTTTGTACAGACTAACAAGGGAATATAAATGACGTATATCAAATGAAAACTTGAATAGCTTAGATTAGAAATATGCAAAATCATGCGAGTGTAAAACGATATACACTAGAAAGTCATATAAACTAACTACGTCACTGTTTTGATCAGACTGGGGAA